CATAGCTTCGTTGCCAGAGCTGTGCTGGTTCAGAATGCCTTTGGTATTTCCTGAACAAAAACATTGTGTTGGGCATATCTTCTGAGGTTGAGTGATACAAAGAAATAAGGACACATGTGTATTGGTTTCGTGGGTTCCCCAGAAAGCACTGAGATGCTTGTAACCTTCTCTCTCTCCCTGGTTGACTCCTATCTTGTGGCCTTAAAGCTCAAGGGGCAAAAAGCATTCAGCTTTTAGTCCAAAATCTCATATCTCCAAATTGCTGAGGCTGAGGACCTGAGAGAATGGCTAAGGGAAAGGGCGATGCTTATTCTATAGGGAAGACTCAGTGTGGGATGAAGAAGGCTTTTCCGAATTGAAATGTTATCTTAGGACATAAGAAATAAACTTTGTATGGCTTCAAAGGTCAAACTATGACCAATATGTAAAAGCTACAGAAAGATAGATTTTGACTCAAAATAATGAAAGCATTTTTTTAAGTTTATTGAGGTAACATTGGTTAATACAATCATATAATTTTCAGGTGTACATTATAATTTGACATCTATATATTCTATTGTGTGATTACCATCCAGAGTCCAGTTTCCTTCAGAAACTATTTTTTAATGAGAACAATCCAAAGATAGATAGGCTATTTCAGAAGACAATGGGTTCTCCATCATTGACGTTTCGTGGCTTGGTTACGTAACCTAAGAGGAAATTATAACCTCTACCGATGAGGGAAACAATATAAAAGTTTCTCACTGATCTCTACCCTGATTCCCACTGGGGTGTTCTAGACTCACATATATCTGCTCCTTAAATCCAACCAGATGGCTTTTGGGGGCACCATTAGGATGACAGTACACATTGGAGACCAGCGGGCAGGGTGCCGAGGCCATAGTGAAAGCCAGCACATTCTGTCACCACGCTAGCCAAGGCTGGGAGTGGAACCTGGGGGGGGTTTGTCTGGGAATCTTTTTCCTCTAATTTGGAAACCACTCCTAAGATTTTAAAAATGCACCTGCTACTCTCATAACATTGCCTTAACTCTTGGCCTCCTCGATTCCTGTTGTTTCAGTGTTTCAGCGTAGGCTGGACGACCACTTTGGAGTGGTGGGGAACACAGGGGAAATTATCCCAAGGGATTGAACTAGATACCTTTAAGGGATCTTAAGATCTACTCATCTTAGTTTAGTAGGATTCTTAGCTATTACAGGGTCTACTCCCAGAAGAGACCTATTTCCCTGGGGGAGAGAGGTATGAGGTAAGTCCTAAGACTTTTCTAGGGAAAGGTTTCAGCATTCCTAGAAACTAGATGTAGATGAATATAGGAGAAAAGGTTGTAGGTTCAATCCCTTAGAATTCCCCCAAATTAGGCCTAACTGGAGGAGTGACCAATAGGATTTTCCAAAGATGGCCATGCCAATATATCCCATCCCACACGCTCCTCTCATGTGACATTGACATTCCTCCATTGAGAGGTGGCTGTCTACATGTCATCTCCTTAAATACTGACTCACTTTTAACAAATAGGGTATGGTGGAAGTGATTTGGGCTGACTTTCAAGGTGAGATTATAAAAGTCAATACAGCCTCCACCTGGCACACACACTCTCTCTGCTTGCTATATCCCAGGCCACATGTAGTGAGTGGTCCAGGCCCAGCTAAGGTGTCAGGCAAAGCCAGCAATAACTGCAGATGTATGAGTGAGGGGGCTTTCAGACGATTCCAGGTTCCTAGCTGCCCAGGTGATGCCATGTGTAACTGAGATTAACTGTCCCCACTGAGCTCCATTCACATTACAGATCTGTGAGCAAAATTAACTGTTTAACATCAGTGTTTTGGGTGATTTGTGCTACAGCCCTAGTAAACAGAGCAGAAGGTGACCTTCATCAGCAGCACAATTCCGTGTTATCATCAAGTAGAACAGGATTCCCAGGCTCGCTCCATTCCTAGCCTGCCCGCAAAGATGTCAGGGAGCCCTACTGCTGAACAAGTATTTGTGGCCAGGGGTTCCCATGGCAACTCTGTATTCTCAGGCAAGGTTTTCCTGCCTTCTTAGGGTTTTGCTAGAACGTGCCCAACTCCCTTTTACGAAAGGTACATGTGAGGTACACGTAATCACCATTAGTCAATTTTTCTAGCCTTTTCTTTTCTAGAATTAAAGTGACCTTCATTCTTAACAAGTCCAAGTAGTTGGAGAAACGGAATAATCTATTCTTCATTTCCATTGTAAATGGAACTCTCCATACTCAGTGGCAAAGGCTTCATCTCTATTTCTAAAGTTGTGTCTATACTCTGAGAGTAAAATTTATAAATGAAGGCAAGGGAACTCAGCAATAATTTCCACCTATACTATACAATGAAACTAAACCGAATTGGCTCTTGGTTACTCCGGCAGTAAGAAAAACTTTTTAAATTCTTGCAGCTGTACAGCCAGAACAAATATTACAAGACCATCATAAAAATCAGTCAGCTTAGTTGGTAGATTTGTACTGGAATGAAAGCTCCATCAGGATATCTCTCTGTTTTAGTCATTATTATATACCCAATGCTTGGCACATAAGCACTCAATAACCCTCTGTTAAATGAATGAAAGAATAAATGGCTGTATGAGTTTTGAAACAACTATGGCTTCAACCAACTGTGCGAGCCTTACTTTATGGAATAAATGTGTGACTCTCTGTGCCTAGGCAAACCCTCAAGACCTGGCCATATTTAAAACAAATTAGACCTGTCAAACACAAAAGGATCCTGGGGTTAAATTAATTAAACAAGGAGGCCATCAGATTGAGATAGTTTTAATGCCTTCAGTAGCCTAAGTAAGCAAGCTAAAACCTGTTAAGTGAGCCAAAACTGAAGCTTGTAAAGGCCTCAGGGTTAAGAAATCAAAACCTAATGCTAAGTAGGCAGTCCCAAATAAGGCAACCACTTGATCTATAGCCAAACTATAATTTCTTTGTTCTGCTTCTGCCTCTTTTCTGTAGTCTTTTTCCTAGCTCCCTTCAGTAGAGTGCTCCCAACCATTTCATTCAGTACTGCCAATTCGAGCAGATTTTTGCTCAAATAAACTCCTAAAATTTTTAATATGCCACAGTTTACCTTGTAACACTATGGGTATATTAAGAATAACTAAGAAATATAAAAATGTGGTACCTGTGTAGTCTGGATGATGGTTAAATCGTTCATATGAGAAATTCCTGCTCCCATAGCAGCTCTGAGGCCAGCTGTCCCAAACTTCATTCGAGCCCCAAAACATTTTTGTAGTTCTTCTTTATTACTTCCTGCAATTAGTTGTTTCACTGACTCTAGAGTTAAAGGGTTCTGCAAAACAGAAATGTATACACCAGATATAGCCATGTGAACAACAGAATAAAAAATCTGAAAAATGAAAAAATCTACAATAATTCTACCTGGAGGAGAATATATATATATATATTACTTTGTGAAATATATCTATATCTACATCTATCTATCTATCTATCTATCTATCTATCTATCTATAGATATAGATATAGATATATGCTTTTCAATATTTTGATGCTTTTGACATTCGAAGCGTAAAGTTTCTTTTTAATTATAATGAGTGATATTGAGATATAATAATACATATTTAGTTTTAGAATAGTTTAGGATAGTTTTAGAATAGAAATATTTAGCCCTTGGTTCCTGGCACGGAACTTCTAAAACCCTTAGAACTTCTGATTAAGGTGAGGAGCATCTTTTGCTATTCTTAATAACACTTCTTCACAGCCATACTGAGTTTACACTAATGAGATGACTCTTGAGGATGGGAGCTAGTTGTCAGGGGAGCCAACCATATGATTGGAGGGTTGGAACTTTCAGCCCCATCCCTGGACCTCCAGGGAGGGGAGCTAGGCTGGAGATTAGGTTCAATCATCAATGGCCAAGGATTTAGTTAATCATGCCTATGTAATAGAATCTCCATAAAAACCCTAAACAACAGGGTTTAGAAAGCTTCTGGGCTGGTGAACACACAGAGGTGCTGGGAATGTGGTGCTCCTGGAAACGGCGTGGAAGCTCTCTCTGCACCTCTTCCTACATACCTTGCCTTGTGATCTCTTCCATTGGCTGTTTCTGAGTTATGTTCTGTATAATAAAACTGGTAATAGTAAGCGAAGTGATCTCCTTAGTTCTGCGAGCTGTTCTAGGAAATTATCAAACCCAAGAAGGTGGTCATGGTAATCCCAGATTTATCACTGGTTGGTCAGAAGTACAGGTGACAACCTGAGACTCTACTGGCATCTGAAATGGGGGCAGTATTGTGGGACGGAGCCCTGAAGCTGGAGGGTCTGCGATAACTCCCCGGAGTTTGTGTCAGAACTGAGCTGAATTGTAGGACACACATTTGGTATGGAAAACTCACACAGTTGATGTCAGAAGTGCTCTGAGTAGAAGAAAACAGTCTTTACCTTTATAATGTAAGTATTATTTTCTTTCCTATGAAGGCAAGCACTTTTGGAGAAAGGAAATGAACATATAGGTTTTGGGGTCTGACACCCAGAATGGAATCTCAGCCACACCACCACTCACCAACTCTATTCACTTGGGCAAACAGTCTAGGTCTTCCTCACGAAGTGGTTTTTGAGGTGGTTTTACATTAAATTAATATAAAACATCTTTCTCTGTCTGGCATTTACTTGTAGTCAAATGTTCATTTTATTCCCTAATATCTTCAAATTTTTCCAGAGAGTGATAAGGTTATGTAATTTAAATCAAAACCTTACTTGTAATGTTTTATAATTTGTACAATGCTTTCACAAACCTGGTTACATTTAAATCTTATAATGACGGCAAGAGGCAGACAAATATCAAAAATCCCTTTTCACAGATGGGAAAGCCTCAGAGATTAATAAAAGACTTGCTTAAAAAGCATAATCAGCATTAACTTAGTGCCTTTTCTATTACATTAACTGCTTCAAATAGACATTCACATGAATCATTTAAATTCATTTTACATTGCCCTATTTTCTTTGTATAACAGTGGCAGAAAATGTTAAGAATAGAGAAAAATGACAATTATATTAATTCTATATTAGACATTTTAAATGAAGAATTCAGTGGAACAATAGAGTAAGTTCTTTATTTCTATCAGTCATCAATCATCCCACGAGATGAACATGTGGGCAAGATGTGACCACAAAATTAAACTTTGTAATGTTATTGCAATAAAACCTTGGCTTTCTGGAATTCAGCCCACATTTCCAGATCGTTCCAGATTCAAGAAGAATCAAGTAAAAGCTCACCTTTTTGGTTAAAAGCAATAGTCACTGATCACAGAGCACAATCTGACCAATCAGAGTGTCAGCAGCCCCCAAAGAGGAGCTGAGGTCTGGAACATAAAACGATTAGTATTTGTCAAGTGAATGAGAAAGCAAAGACTTTCAGGTCACAGCCAATATGTGGTGATCCTCAGTGTAGATTTGGAAAATCCTACCTGGCCTTCGAGATCTATAAAAGACCAATAGCCTGAGAGAAACTAAAGAAGGCAGAGAGATAAGAATGAAAAGTCAAGAGAGCAGCAGAAGTGAGAATCAGCTGTGGGAGTGACCAAAGCTGACAGCAGCTAAAGGAACAGGGATGAAGGTCCAGTGGGAACAGAGCACCTGCCAGGTACCTCGCTCCCTCACCCTTGGGGGACTCAGACCAAAGAGCTCCGGTGCTTTTAGCTGGTGGGAAGTTCCCTCTGGGGCCTCTCTCAAACCAAAGAAGAAATCGAGAGAGGAAAGAACAAGAAAAGTGGGAGTGATCAAAAAATAAAAAGGACAACATTCCCTCACCTCCAACCAGGGAGGTACTATCCCTCTACAGATACAACATTTTGTGGAAATCGGGTTTTCATTTCTTCAAAGGGAACGTTTTATGGAACAATTCATTACCAGCTGTGCCTCTAAACCATTTCTACACACTCCAAGTTACTAAGTTATCAGAAATGGAAACACTTTCCTTCCCTAAAGAATTACAAGGCTGTCTTTCCAGGAAAAGAAAAACCACCCGAGTTGCCAATAGCATTCAAAAACAGGACGTGCATTCCACCTACAGCGACCCAGAGGGCAAAGAGGGGAAGCTGGCCCTGCTGATAGGATGTGCAATCAGCTTCATATTCTTAACAACTATTTTAGGTACGGGTACCTTCCGCTTTTCCAAAGTGTGTGTTATGAAATACCTACATTAGTACCAGGTTTTGCTAACTGAAAAGAAATGGGGGAGGATTTTCACTTTTATGAAAAAAGGCGAAAAGTGAAAATAGCGATTAGCGTTTGTTTGGTAGCAGCCCTTACAGAGGTGGCAGCAACTCCAGCAGCGAGAGAGGCCGCCAAGCTCCTTTCCCAGGAAATACACTCAGCATCTCAGCATCAAGCCCAATAGCTTTGAACTGTGTCTGTGAGCATCTTTGCTTCATCTCGGTTTATTTCGTTCATCCCTTAGCAAGATGTGTCCTAAGAGAGCTCATAGGGTGTTAGGCTTAGCTTAAAACAATGTGATTAAACGTTTCGACCAAGGAGAATGACATAGAGACATTGTATGTGCTTTGAATTTGCCCACGTCCACCATTCATCCTATCTACATGCAGAAAGAATCTAGAAAACTGACAGACAAAGTTACTACTGGTTCTGCTAACTGTAAAGAGGTCCCCTTTAGTTAGTATCTACTTAAGGATAAGATGGAAAGTCTATTGCTTGAGTGAGTTTTTGGGTATACGAAGTGAAAGCGTGGTGTGTATTTATCACATCATTC